TGCAGGATTTAAAAGAGTGGTTCTTGTGATGCAGGCACTGCCCCCCCCCCCATGGCAGCAGCCGGTAATATTGCCCAACATGCAGGGCTATGGCACACACGCACTTGCGGTACATTAGGGCTCTCTGATAACCCTAAGCAGGACATGAGAGGTGGTTCTGGCTGCTGCCCTTCCTGGTCTGTCTTCCTATACCCAAGCTCCTCCCAGAAACAGAAGAATGTGGGATTGTTCCTGTCCCATTTTTCCTGAACCATCATATCTGTTACAACATTTCAACACTATTTAATCATATACTACATTTCCACAATTATTAGCACTAATGAAGGATTGGATTTCAAAACTAGAGCTAGGGACAGACATTCAAAAAGCCTGAGCCTAAATTGATTCAATCTTTGCAGGTTAGTCTAGCCTGGCTAAGCTAAATCAGTTTGTAACTGTAGCAGGGCACTAAGGTGCCTGCTACTTTGAGAGCAGAAGTAGGAACCCAGGTGCAGGTTGCTGGGACAATGCTTAAGGAGGGAAGTGGCCGCACCTGCACCTGGCCCGCTGGACGGAAGAGGCAGGGCCTGGCTTCCATATAAATCCCAGGCTTGAGGCCAAGGGGACAGTTCCCTGCCAGCCGCCAAGGGAGAAGGAGCTCTCCCAAAGTAAGCTGAAGGTACAGCTGCAGGTACAGCCCCAAGATTGAGGAAGGATGGAGCACCCAGGGGTAGCTGGAATAACATTATGGCCAGGTGGCTAGAGTTTATGTTATAGCCCAGGGGCTTGTGTTTTGTTTCCTGTTTTAACCAGCGGTTTGGGTGAGCCTAATAGGGGATGGAGGAGGCCTCATAAGGGACCTGCAGCAGCATGGGAACCCCAGTCCCAGAGAGGGGGCAGCGAGGAGCCCCAGAGAGGGGGCAGAACAAGACTGAACAATATCAGTTACATCTGCGAGGCTTGAGGTGTGGTAAAGGGGTGGTTGGAGACATGCATAGCCCATAAGGCTGTGGTGTACCAAAACACCCCTTACAGAACGGGGCCTGTGTAAGGCAGAAAAATTGTGTCCAAGAGTTTAGAAAGGCAGCCTCCCTATTACATATTCAACATCAAAGACGTGGCGGGCGAGACTTGAGGGTGCTTTTAGGCAAACTTGGCATGGCAAGGGGGCGTCAAGGGAGACCACGGTGACCCTAGGATGCCCTCCCATTACAGAAACTTATTCAGACATCCCAGGGACATGCCTGCAGTGGCTCAGGCTAGAAGCTGGGGGGTGCTAAAGCAGCCATCCCTTTGCTTCCACAGGGCAGAGCTGGGGGGGGGGAGGGGCGGAGGGTGGCCAGGCCCCAGCAGGACGTTCTGATTATTCCCCACTCCTGAGATGCCCAGCAGGGAATGTTTATCACCCCTAACTCAGTGTTTATCAACTCATTAAGAAAAGAAAGCCTCTCTCCATTAACTAATGGAGCTCTTCTTAAACAGCTCTTCAAAGGAAGGACATTAAGCTACCTGTTGATTAGCTCCAACAAGTGTGTCTGCCTCAGTCCTCTCCCACAGCACAGACTGTAGCCAGCATGTGGTCTGCTAGTTAATGCTAATATGTCTGCATAAGGCAGAGGGGAGGGGAGAATAATTCCTGTTTAGCAGGGAGAAGCCAGGCAGATGCTCTGTGCCTGCAAGTCTGTGCCAAGCTCCAGCCAGGGAGTGGAGGGCAGGGGGGAAGCCCTACTGTGGAGCAGAGAGCATGCCAGGATGCTGGGGGTGTCTGTTTTATCTTAAGCATTAAGCTACCTGTTGATTAGCTCCAACAAGTGTGTCTGCCTCAGTCCTCTCCCACAGCACAGACTGTAGCCAGCATGTGGTCTGCTAGTTAATGCTAATATGTCTGCATAAGGCAGAGGGGAGGGGAGAATAATTCCTGTTTAGCAGGGAGAAGCCAGGCAGATGCTCTGTGCCTGCAAGTCTGTGCCAAGCTCCAGCCAGGGAGTGGAGGGCAGGGGGGAAGCCCTACTGTGGAGCAGAGAGCATGCCAGGATGCTGGGGGTGTCTGTTTTATCTTAAGCCAGCAAGGAGTCTGAAACAGACATTGCATAAACCGGTTTGAGCCAAATCATAGATTCATAGATGTTAGGGTCGGAAGGGACCTCAATAGATCATCGAGTCTGACCCCCTGCATAGGCAGGAAAG